TATTTTCTCCCAAATTTTTAGTTTTGGTCTTATTTTGTAGAAAATTTAATTCTTTATCGAATGATTTTGAATTTATTTTTTAAAATTTACTAGGTCAAGAGTTATAGAATTTTATTTAGCTCTGGTTCTAGTATACAGGGGATACTGCAAAGTCTAGATATCCTTCAAAAATTTGACCCACCTCTATTTAAGGAACGTTTCTTAAAAATTAAGTAGCTACTGAGTGAGAGAGACTGTCTAAGCGTTGCCCTTTATTTAAAGTACACCTCATTATAAGCTACGATTTTTAAGTGCCAAGGGGTATAATTAGGATTGAGGTCTCTGACTCTTTCCTAAATTAAAATATTTTTTTTCTTAAGATGATTGCCGAACTTTTGGACGTTCTTCTATGTTATTGCCTTCCTTGTTGTATCGTTGTTGCTTTAAATTTAATTATTGCTTCAAAAGTGCGTAAAGCAGATCGTTCATTTTATAATTCATCTCCTCCACCACAATCATCAATTAAACGTCGAACATTTACAAATAATCGCCCAGCAAGTTTGTCTTCATTAAAGAAAAAGAAAAGTTTAACAACATCTTCGGCTAAAAGTTCTGTTGGATCAACAACAATAATAACAACACCTAGAAAAAATTCGGCATCACAGAAATTGTCTATGCCTTTAGGGGCGTCGACGAGAACTGCTGGAGGTGAATAAAAAATAAATAATTATTTTTACTTAATATATAAAATTTTTTTTTAAATTTTTCTGAAAAAAATTTTCTCCCTTTAAAAATTAGAGGGATGATTCTGATTTATAAAAACCAGAAAAATAATTTTTTTCAAAATTCTGGTCAAGTTCTGATTTTTATTTAAGCGTTATTCGTTAATTCCCTACGTGTGAGCCTCAAGTCTTTAAATTATTATATCTCTGGGTTAATTGGAGATAAAAATTTGATTTTTATGTCATTAGATAGAGGAGATTCTTAACTATAAAAATTTATTTTAATTAAATTTTTAACTTGAATCAGTCAAAAATTATGACCAAAAAACTGTTAAAAACCTTGCAAATTTTAATTTTTAAAGGTGGATCACTAGCCTCTTCAGCATCTTCTGCAGGCACTCGTATACTTCTTGTAGTTCCTGTTGTTTATATATTATTAAATACTCCTTTCTATTTAATTCGACTTATTGACACGGTAAATTATTAATATTGTCGGATCTCGCTATAAAGATATATCGCTTAGGCAGCTCTTTCCCCTCCCAATGACTAGCCTAACGTACCTTAAACAGAGTTGGGCCTTAAATAGTGGGTTATCTAATATTGGGAGGTATCTATTAGGAGGTAGCTTATATGGAGGGTATTGCTCAATCAGGTTTATCCACCTAATATCCAATTAGACGTACCTTAAATAGAGGTGTACCTCATATTGGGAGATATATAATAGGAGGTGGCTTATATTGGGAGTGTCTTATAGAGGCGTCTGACTTTAATAAAATGAAGATTTTTTTATTAAAATAATTTTTCCTTCATTTTAGATTGCTCTAAATTTATTCAATTCTGACGCCTTTCAAGGAAGCAGTGGAAGTTTGGCATCAAATCCCTTGCTAGCCTCCCTATACAATTTTGCCCATTATTTATATTATGTCAATTTTTCCTGTGATGTAATAGTCTACGCATTTTCTTCAGCAAATTTTCGACGAACAGTTTTAATAGCTTGGAAAAGAATTTTGTGTCCAGGCTGGAATGGGTCAAATAACGCCTTAATTTTAAATAATACAACAAAAATTGGAAGAGAATTAAGTTCAAATAATCCGAAGAATTCCTCAATTCGTTCACGTTTATTACCCCAAACACATTTATTGTTGGTACAACAACAACAAATGACACCTAAAAATAATAGACGTTTAAGTAGTTGTGTTAATGGAGAATTAAATAATAATAATAGGGAAGAGAATGAAGAAATGTGTAGAAAAGAAAGGCCAAAATCGTTTAGTAATACGTTGTTGAAGCAAAAATTGAATGGAAATTTTAATTGAAGATTTTTGAAAAAGTTTTTATTAGCTTTAAATTTTTTTAAATTTAATTTTCTATTTATGGACCTCATTATAAGATGCTCCCGATACTGGAGACCCCTCTATCTAAGAGACGCTTTATTGGTTAATTAGCGATTGGGGTGGGGAAGTTATCTGAGCGATACCCTTCAATTTAAGATCCCTAATACTGTATACACCTCAATTTAAGAGACGCCCTCTAGAATTTCGATTAGCCATTGGGTGTATACCCCTCGATTTGATATACCCCTGCATTAAAAGATATTATTTTTTAACCACAAGGGTGTTTCTTATGGTGAGGCCTGTCTGTATTTAAATTGATTACAATTTTAAAAATTTTCTGTTTCATATCTTTGAATTTATATAAATTATTTAAAGCCTTAAAAGTTTACCTTTTATTTGCTGAATTAAAAAAATATTTTTTTAAATTTTTTTGAATTAATTAAAAGCATTATAAAATCAGAATGGGTTCACATGGTAACTTTAAAAAATATTTTTAAAGAAGACAAAGTTACCCATGCATACCAATCCTGATAAACAAAACTTTTGTTGGAAATATTTTTATTAAATATCCCCCCATTTTAATATCAAAGTCACAAAAACAGGAGGCAGGGGGGGGGGGTGAGGGAGGGGAATAACAAGAAGATGCAAAGGGTGTAAGTAGAATCAAGATATTTTTACAATCACAACTATATTTTAAATAGATTTTTATGTAAATTTATTTTTAAACAAATGATTGGCACAAGAAGACAAAAAATGTTGTAAGCGTCTGGTAATAGGGAAGAATAAAGGGCACTAAAAGGGGGAGAGAAGCGAAGCCAAATAAATAAATTTTTTTAATGGCCGATGATCGGTTGCTTGGTTGATGTAGAAGCGATGGATAAACAAAAAATGATGACATTTATAAAAAGATTTTTTTAACATTTAAAAAATAAAAAGCAGAGGGAGGAAGGGTGGAATAACAGGGTGACCCTATATTCTTTTTAGTTTTTTTTTTGTTGAATAATTAAATTTTTTTATGGAATAATAAAATTATTAGGTAGAGCCTCAAGTAGATTTATCAAGTAGATACGCTTTTTTAAAAAAATTGGTTGGCCACTAGATGTGGGGAGCTGGCCACAAAATATCCTCTATTTAAGAAATGTCATTATAAGAGGTGATATTTCAGTTTCAAGGAAGTGAGGTTCTCCTACTAAAGTGAGGTCTACTAGCCTCCTGCGACGTTCATTCTCTATACGTTAATTAAATTAATACGTCAAAATAATCTCTTATTAATCTCTTATCCTTCAACTAAAAAAATTAAATTTAAAAAATAAATATTTTATCGCAAAATTAAAATAATTTAGTTATTGTCTGTAAAATTTCCATTATTTTTATTTTGAAATGAGGAAAATGGAGTAATTATTGAATTATTTTTATTTTTAAAATTATTAATTAAAGGCCTAGATAAATTTAAATTTGGCTGTTGCCCATTATTTTTGTTCAACTCCAAGGTTGTTGAAAGCGGAGTTGGGGTTGCTGCAGGTGAAGAAAATGTATAGAATGGTGAAGAATATTCGCTGCGAGGAATAAAGCCTGTTAAAAATGATAATTTTTAATAGTTGACATTTTGAAATTTTTTCCCCTATGTGACATTTTGGCATATTTTTGGGTAGTTGACATTTTGAAATTTTTTCCCCTATGTGACATTTTGGCATATTTTTGGGTAGTTGACATTTTGAAATTTTTTCCCCTATGTGACATTTTGGCATATTTTTGGGTAGTTGACATTTTGAAATTTTTTCCCTAGTTGACATTTTGATATATTTTTCCCTAGTTGACATATTGGCATATTTTTCGTTGGTTAACATTTTGAAATACAGTAATTTTACCTTTAGTTTCTCCATTCAAATAAGGAATAAAATAAGACGAATAATTTTGATAATTTCTATTTAAATATTTTAAAGGAAATGTTGTTGGAGAGGCAAATTGTTGTTGCCGACGATGTTGAGAATTTATTGGATTAAATTGTAAGGGGGTTGGAATATTAGAAAATTCGTTATTATTTGCAAACATTAATTGATTAAAAGGATTAGGCTGTGGGGTGGTTGGAGAGACTGAAAATTTGGGGGATTTTTTTTTTTGGGATTTTAAAATTTGGACATTTTGAAATTTTTACATTTTATTAGGGTTGATGGCGACCGGTTATTAAGCTGAATCTGGCTAATTCGCCAAAAACCCGGTTAACGGGCCCGGTTCGGTTAACCGTCCGCCCACAACCAAATCTTTTACACTTAACAATTGTAAGATTTTTAAATCTGGACATTTTGAGTCCTTGGCATTTTGGACATTTTAAAATTATTAAAAAATTTTCAACCTCCAAAAAAACTGCCGCTAGTAAAAGGATTTGGAGGAGGCAAATTCTGATCCACAGCATTCAAAGTAGCCTCAACTTGTCTGTCTAAAGAAGCTAGACCAAGTTGAGGAAAAACAACTTGCCCGTCTCGACTTTCAGTTAAATCTTTAATAATTCTTTTAATTAATTCTGTTGTAGCTGTAGAATTTCCATTATTTAATTCTTTAATTAATAAATTCCTTTTTTGTGGGGCCATCTGGGCTAATTGAGAAATTACGGCGTTTTCTTGATTTGTTTTGATTGCTTGGATCTTTGACCAAGTCTCTAGATCCATTGGAGTGTCTGTTGATCCGATAAAGTTGGTGGAGGTTGTTGGGTCTGTCTGTTAATGATATATAGTGGACCTGGCTATAAGCTACATCCAAGGGGTTGAAAGGATTATCTTATACTGAGGTGTATCTTATATTAAGGGCTCCGCAATCTCCTCCTAAATCTCCTAACCAGCCTCCAACTCAGCACTTGTGTCATTTTGACGGATATTAGGTGGGGTCGACATTTCCCTATCTCCTCCTTGGAAAATGATCCGATCGGGTCGAGAGATACCTCATTTGAAAGGGCATTAAAAGGGCTTCCTTAGTAGAGGGGGAAAAGGGAAAGAGAGGTAGGTAGAGGGTATAGGGGGTAACATACTCGCCGAAGAAAAGGATGAACCAAAGCAGCCGTTCCTGTCAACATTTGCATGCCTGGAAGCATACTACGTTCATCTGGGAATTTTTAAAAATTTTCAAAATCAATTAAAAACAAACTCTTGTTAAATTTATCCTCCCCAAAGTGTTCAACTAATTGTTGTTGTTTAATATTAAAAAACGGATTGGGTGGGGGAGTGGTAAATGAAAATTTAAAAAATAGGGAAATTAGGGAGAGGAAGAAAATTAATTTAAAATTCATTTTTAGGGGAAATTAAAAATTCTAAATTTTTTTAATTTTGAGGGAGAATTTTGGGGTGAAATTATGCTTGAAATCCCTTCTAAATGCTTAAAAAATAATAAAAAAATTATTAAAAAACAAGTTTTATTTATATTTTATTCCAAATAAATAAATGAAACTTTAATCGGATTTTTGGTGAAAATAAAAATAAAATTTTCTGGTTTTTAACAAAGGAAAGGAATTTTTAAAAGAAAATCCTCGCTTATATTATGCTTAAATAAAGGTATTAGCTTAAGGCTCATTTTAATAAAGTTTAATAGGAAGGAATAAAGGAAAAGCTGGGTATGCTCGGAGCAGTTCAACTGAATCACGGCCATATAACTCTAGAAGCGGTGGATACTTTTCTAAAGATCTTGGTACGATTAGATAGAGCATTTAATGGACTATAAGATAACAAAAAATCGAAATTTACGATTGATTGGTAAAAAAGTTAAGATCTAAAAACTAACTTCAAAAAAATGTGATTTTCTGCATTTTATCGGTCATAACTTTTTTGGCAGTTGATCAATAATTTTGATTTTTTGGTTTATTGTAGCGAATTTAAAGCTCTATCCAACAGTACCAAGAGCATAAAAAAGTGAACATCCCTTCAAAAGTTATAGGGTCCGAAACTCAGTTTAGTCGGGACTCAGTACCCGATCATGCTGTTAAGTTGGCCGTGGTGTAATGGCTAACGGCGCTGACTTGCTATTGGAAGGGGTACGGGTTCGATACCGAGTGAGTGGAAATGACTTAAAATGAAGCCTAAAACATTTTTAAAATTTATTTTTCGATTTTTTAAAATTAATCAATTAGCAAATCTACTAGCCAAATGTAAAAAATCATCAATCACAACTTGTATAGCTTTTAAATCACCAAAATATTCTTCTTTTTCATAAATTTGACTAACATCTTCAGTATTCCCCCAATCTGCCCATTCTCCACCCTTTTTAAACATGGCTAATAATGCTGGAATTTGGTGTAGACGAAGTTGAGGATCACGTCGAAATGGATTATTTGGATTATACCAGCTGAAGAAAAAGAGGAGAGAATTTTTGGGGAGAATTATAGTAATATTTATAAGTGAGGGAAGTTTAAAATTTAATTATTAAGTTTCTGTTATCGGGAAAGTTCTAATTTTTATGGAATTAAATAGAGGAGATTCTGAACTATAAAAAACCATAAAATCAAAATTTTTGAAAGAAAATTCTGAAAGTTATGAATTTTTGAATGGGGAGAGTTAAGCGGTTTTAAGCTATAGTTGTCCAACTTAAAGACCCATAATTTGAAGTGAAGTTAAGCTAGAAATTTGAATCAGATGTCAAAAAATAGAGAAAAGTCTGGGCTATCAAATGGATTATAAAATAGATTTTTAGGTTAAAATTGAATAGAGTTCTGAATTTTAAAGTGATTTTGGTCAGCACCCACAAAATTTAATAATTCTTTACTAAATAATTTTAAAATTTTTTTAAGACTTACTAATCACGAGCACCAACTTGACAATTAACCCAATGTATAGGCACATTATTAATTGGACTAGAACTATTTAACTCTTCATTTTTTAATTTTTCCTCCAATTTATCCAAAGCTAGCCAAACTACAGGGTCTGCTTTAGCAGAGTCCTCACACCAATTAGAGCCGTCAGATAATTTCGAATCAGTAAAATAAACAAAAATAATATGGGAAGGTAAAGGTCTGTCTGGATGCGAACTTTGTTTTAAACGAGAATCTAATTGACGTAACATTAATTGGAGGTCGTCAAAACCGGTGACGGAATAACGATAAAAATTCATTTTTTAGTTGAAAATAAATAGATTCTTTCTCTATTTTTGTAAAAATGAAAGGAAAATAAAAGAAAAAATTTAAAAATGAGAAAAATTTATTGACAGATTTTACCGAAAAATAAAAAAAACATCGATTAAAATGAAAGAATTTAATGATGAACAAAAAGAAAAAATAAACAAATAATATTTTACTTTCAACAAAATATTAAAATTGGTACAATTTGACAAACTTAATTCAATTCAACTTTACATCCTTTACTTCCAGAAGTTAACTGATATTTTTAGGTGGTGGTAAAGTTGGACGGGGAACAAAATACGGGAAAATAACGGGGAACAAAATTATATTTAAAAATAAATATAATTAATTTAGGGGTTTTTCTTCAAGAGATTATAACTTTGGGGTAATTGAAGTTTTGAAAAGCTAAATTTTCATGAAGTCTAGCCTTTAAAAGTCGAAATTCAATATTCCGAATACGAAATTAAACATTCGAACTTGAAAATTTATAAATTTCAATTTCTCAAAACGTCCAATCTTCGAATGCCAAATTTTCGTAAAATCAAAACCATTTAAAATCTAATTTTTGAACCCTTATATATTCTAAATTTCCTCGTTTTTCAAAAATATTTCCCACGTTTCAAAAAAATTTTTCTATTTAATTATGCCCCAGGCTCCCCTATATTTTATTAAATTTATTAATGCTATTATTTAGCATATTTAAATAAATTATTTATTCCCCCTAAAAAATTGTCAAGGGAAATAAAATAAAAAAATAATGATGGCTTTTGCCATTACTTATTAGCTTCATCAAAAAAAATTTTTTTCCTTTCCAATTAATGTTTGACCAAAATTGGAACAAACTGACACACAAATTATGCTTATAATAATTATTTTTTTTAATAAAAAAAAATTTTTTTCACTAAAATAAAATAATAATTAAAAATAAAATATTATGTATTTTTTAGGGCTTCTTTAATCTTTAAAAAATATTTTTTTTTTATTTTTTGGTAGTGAATTAATTTATAAAAATAAAATTATTTTAAAATTATTTAATAGAATATTCAAGAAGCTTGCAAAATTTTTTTTTGTGGAAAAAAATTATTTTCAGGAAAATAAATAAATTTGAGGTGCTTCTCTAATTTTATAGGAGGTATTTTTGGGTAGTGAATTAATTTTTAAAAATATAATTATTTTTAAATTTATTTTAATAAAATATTCAAGAAGCTCTCCCAAAATTTATTTTCCTATTTTTTTTGAAGAAAAAAATTTTTTTAGGAAGATAAATAATTTTGAGGTGCTTCTTTAATTGGAGGGGGTTTCTCTTTTCCTGCAAAAATTTTTTTCTCTAAATTTTTTTCTGAAAAATTTTTTTCCAATTTTTAAGGCTTTAGATAATTTAACTATCTAAATTTTATATACTTTTAAATATTTCCCTTTATTTTAACTTAAAAAATTTTTTTTTCTTTAAAAATTCCCACGACTAAATGCTTCAAATACTTACTATTTTTTTTATTTTTATTTTGTAAAAGTGTATTTAATTTTTTAAAAATATTTTTGCTTTTAAAATAAAGATTAATTTATTTTTATTTGTAAAATTTTCCTTTACTCTCCAAAATAAAAATAATTTATTTTTATTTAAATTAAGCTTTAAAATTATTTTTTAATACTTATCTAGTAGGCGACTCACCCCTCTAATGGACAGATTTACTTAATCCCTTTTCCTTCAAAAATAAAAATATAGTGAAGACTCTGTAGGACTTCATTATAGGATACTCCCCTTGGACTGAAAAAAATTTTTGTCTCTTATAATGAGGGTCTGTTAAATAGAGGGTATCTCCATTTAGTGGCTAACCAAGTTTAAAGAATGTAACCTAACTTGAGGTGTATTTAGTATTGGATGGTCTCTTATAGAGAGGCCTGACTATCTTCCAAGGTCTAACTTATATACATGATATCGCTCAGACAGCTCTCACCATTACTACGGACAACCCTATTTTGTAAACATATCTTAAATAGAGTATATTTAATACTGGGGGTATTATAGAGAGGGTTGTCTTTCCAAAAAATTTTTAAAAATAAGCTTAAATGCTTTTTTGCACTTAAAAAACTTTTAACATTTGCAGCGACATAAATAGAAAAGATTTGAGTCATTTTAGGCTCTCTAAAAAGTTAAAAAAGCTTTTTGTTTTTACGTGTTTTTTGCTAATTAACTACGAAAAAATTTTTCTTCCTTCAGCGAATTTTTCAAGAAAAAAATTTTTTTAATATTTATTTGAAAATTTGAAGAAAAATTTAAAACCCCCCCCCATCTCTCTCTTCAAGCCTCCCTTTCTCCCTCCCCCTCCCCCCCCCTGATTCCTTTAAGATAACCTCCCCTTCCTTTAAGCCTCCCCCCTACCTCCCTATCTCCCCTCCCCTCTCCTTTAAAATCAAACCCTCAACCTTCCTTTTTTCAAAAATCAACCCCCATCCCCTTAGTAATTATTTTAATTTTTCTAAAAAATTTTTTAATCCTTACTAAACTAATCTCTAATTTTTTCACTCTATTTTATTAAAAAAAATTTTTTGATTTTTATTTTATATAAAATCCTTTCATTGCGCGTTCCCTCTCGTCCCTTCATTTCCGTTTCCTGGACATCCTCCTTATTTTATTTTATGTATTTTCTTCCAATATTCTATGGTTTTTGATGTTATTAATTTTTAGACAAAAGAAAAAATTTTCAAAAAAATTTAATTAGACATTAATTGGGCTTATTTAAAGAGCCAACCGAGCAGTTTTATATTGCCAATATTTATATTTTATTTGTTTTTTATAAAGCTGCGCATAAACAACTGGATATACTAATATGTACATATATTAATGAAATATTTAAAAGCTTTTTCTTTCCCAAGCTAAAAAATATTTTTATTAATTATTAATTTACTTTAATGTGAGAACTTTGAATTTTTTTAGCAGATATCCTAGTTTTCTTGCATTTTTGCGTATTATAAAGATTAAAATATTTTGAAGTATATATTTTTAGCATAATTATTTTTTAATTTTAAAAATTCGAAATTTTAACAATTAAAAATGTAAACTTGAAATTTTTAAAAATCGGCCCCTCCCTTTATCCCCCCACCCCCCCCCCCCCCCCCCCCCATCTTCCTCGCCCCCCCCCCCTCCCCTCTTATTATTTTTATTTTTTTTCTTGCTCTCTTCGAGGATACTGATTTCGAAACTTGAGAATCCACAGGTTTGGATTAAATATCGAGGGGAAAAGGTCGGTCCAGATTTTAGAAAAATCATTGGCTCTTGTCCAGTTTATGCGTCCCATGAAAGTATATGCGTCCCATCAACAAAAAATTGGATATTTCTTGGTGTTGCAAAGTAGGGGTATGGTTCCAAAGCATTTCTTCATGTTCGGGATCTACGTCCACTGGGTCTGGGACCGTTCCTTACACTATACCTCGAAATTTCTGAAAGTTATAGCCAATTTTTAAAAATTTCAGAAAAACGATTTTAACTTTCAGAAATTTCGAGGTATAGTGTAAGGAACGGTCCCAGACCCAGTGGACGTAGATCCCGAACATGAAGAAATGCTTTGGAACCATACCCCTACTTTGCAACACCAAGAAATATCCAATTTTTTGTTGATGGGACGCATATACTTTCATGGGACGCATAAACTGGACAAGAGCCAAATCATTTTATAGCATCAGGGTATTTCCTTCTTTTAAGTGCCTTAATTTAATTTTTTCTGTAGTAAATACTCCTTAATATTTTTGTAAAATATTTTTTTAAATAAATTTTATTAATTTATTTTCTCCTCCAAATTACCAAAATATTATCTTATTTTTTATTTTTTTTGTTTTTTATCCCTCATTGCGCTAACATAATACACATTTATTTTTATGTATTGCTCCAACAGACGTCATATTGCACGAATATTTTTTGTTTTTATTTATTTTTTTATAGAGTGAATATTAGCCTAATAATTAGAATTTTATAACGCGTAAAAAGTCTTTTTTAAGTTTATTTTTGTATTTTTATTTATTTTTAATTTGGCGCTGAACCGACCTTTTAAGGTTATACTGCTTGACCTTAGTCTGGTTTTTCTTTTATAACTTTTGAACCAATAAAGCTTTAAAAATACTTTTGATACTGATCAATAGAGAATTGAATAGGCTATAAGAAAAAATTTATTTTAAAATTTTGAGTTAAAAAATAAAAAAGTTGTGGTCGAAAAACTGTCAAAAAATGGGCATTTTTCATGAAAACGTCGATTTGTGGATTTAATTCCGCCTCATAGCTATTGAACCAATAAAGCTTTAAAAATACTTTTGACAAGGTTCGATAGAGAATTGAATAGGCTACAAAATAAAATTTATTTCAAAATTTTTGGTTAAAAAATAAAAAAGTTGTAGTCGAAAAACTGTCAAAAAGAGGGCTTTTTTCATGAAAAACGTTGATTTTTATGGATACAAATTTATTTTTTATATAAAAAATTTCTTATTTTTATTTTATTTTGTAGGAAATTTAATTCTCTATTAGAAAAAATTTTAAAAATTTTTCTAGATTAATTTTTAAAAAAATTTTTTAATTAAAATGTCTGTCTAGTTATAATTTTTTGACTTTTGCTTTATTCCAAATTAATTTTAAAAAAATCCAAAAATGGAATAAAAAACCGGAACGTGCAAATGAACACATAAAAAAGTGTGTTTGAATATGTATTACTAAAGAAAATTGAAAGTGAGGAGGAAATTAGGGGGATATCGAGAGAATTTGAGGGGGGGTGGGGGCACCGGGAACACACAAGGAAAATGATTTTTTTTTTCCTAAAAAATTTTTTCTTCAAAAAAGGGAATATTTCTAACACCAAAAAAGAACTATTTTTATTAAAAAAAAATGGAAAAAGCCAAAAAAAAGTTTTCCTATAATTTTTTGACTCCAAACAATATTTAATTCAATTTTAAATTAAATGTTAGCCGAGAAAGTTTAGTTACAATTTAAAAAATTTTATTTTTTTGGTTTAAATTCCCAATAGAAACAAAATAAAAAAAATTTTTTTTTCTCAAATATTTTTAGATAATTTTAAATTTTTTTTGAAATATTTTTATTTTTACATAGACATTTATTTTTACATAGACACTTATTTAAGCCAACATTAAAGGCGAAAACTCTCATTTAATTAAGAGATACCCCCAAGTTTGGGAACATTAAATACCTGACTGGGAGGGGTCGTTCGGAAAATCGAGCTCTAAATATCTCGATATCTCTGAAAATTTCGTTTTTTGCTAATCGAAATTTTTCGAGGCTTAATAATCTTCCAAAATTTAATGTAGAAATTCCAAAACAGTTCTGTTCAGCCCAGGGTTGCCGCCCGAAACCCGAAACCCGGCCTTTTTTTGTACCCGAAACCCGTACCCGAAGATTTTTTGTACCCGCGGCAACCCTAGTAATTTTTTATCGAAGGGTAGTGGATTCAATTATTAAAAAAGATTTTTAATTTTTTTTTCGAATTTTTTTGTTTTTAAACAAAATATAGGCACGCTTAACTTCCTTTTTTAATTTTTATTTTCTCTTAAATTTTATTTTTTTTCAAGATTTAAGCTAACCTATTATTTATTTAGTTAAGTCACGCAATTAAAAAATAAAAAAGTATTTTTTAATTCTTTTATTTTTAATAGTACATTTATTTTTAACTTTTAATTGGGTATTTTTAAAAATCCTAAGGGTGAGGCACACTCCGCTTTAAGCGCCATAACTTTATTTTCGATCAGTCGATAATTTTGATTTTTTGCTGTCTTATAGTTCATTTAATTCTCTATCCAACGGTACCAAAAACATTAAAAAGCATCTATCCCTTCATGAGTTATAGGGCCAGGACTTGAGTGAACTGCTCCGTCTAGTTATCTTTTAAACTCCATAACTTTACTTCCGATCAGTCGAGAATTTTGATTTTTTCAGATCTTGTAGAGCACTTAATTCTCTATTAAACGTTACCAAAATAATTAAAAAACATACACCCTTTCAAAAGTTATAGGGCCGGGACTTGAGTGAACTGCTCCGTCAAGTTATTTTTTAGGCGCCGTAACTTTACTTTCGATCAGTCGAAAATTTTGATTTTTTGCAATCTTGTAGGGTGTTCAATTCTCTATTCAGCAGTACCAAAATAATTAAAAAGCATCCACCCGTTCAGGAGTTATAGGGCCGGGACTTGACTGAACTGCTCCGTCTGGTTATTTTTTTACTTTTGACAATATTCTTGAATTTAAAAAAAATATTTTTTAATAAATATTTTTTAATAATAAAAATTTAATTTATTAAAGTCCCCAAAAATAGATGGATAGGTTTTTAAATTGTATGTGAAGCGTATTAAAATGTGGCAACATTTACTAACATTATTTTTTAATAAACTAAATTTGGCCAATTTATTAAATTAATATTTCAAAAAAAAATAATATTTTTTTCCTTTCCTAGGAAATTAAAAAAAAATTTTTTTTTAATATTTTTACTTCCCTAAAAATTTTTTTTCAAGGAAAATTTATTTAATTAGTTAAATTTTAATAATTTATTTCCTTGTTTAAAAATCCTTTTTATCCACCAAAATCCTCTTTCTTTTAAATTTTCGATTAAATAAATTTATTTATATTTTATTATTATATATATTATTTTTTATCTATTTTTTAAAATTTATTTTTGGTAACATTAATATTTATTTATTTTAATTTATTAAAAGATAAGAAAATTTATTTTAATAAATTAATTTTAAAAAAGATCCTTTATTTACGATAAAATTAATATTTTATTTAATTTTATTAATTTATAAAAATTAATTTTGAAAAGATTTTTCAAAAATTCTTTGGGATATCCTTCTACTTTTCTCCATTAAAATACTAGGGTTGGGGTTTTCGAGTAGGCCGACGTTCGAGTCATTTTTTTCGGGCTGCCTTTTTACCGGGCCGGCTCGACCGAGTCTTTTTCAAGCAAAATTCGATGCCCGACTCGATCCTTCAGGCCGGTCCCCCAAGACTATTAAACACCCTCCTAGATGTCTTAGTAAACAAGTCCAAGTCTTTTTCGGGCCAAAATCGATGCCCGACTCGACCTTTCGGACCGGGCCGGAACCCCAATCCTATTTAACCCCTGCTACCTAGTTGTCTTAGTAAACGAGGGTCTGTTGGCTCCAAACCTTTACGAAACTACTATTTTCTAGGCGAAGCTGATAAAGCCTTCGAAGCAAAACGAAATTCTCCGTGAAGGTCTGAATTGGCATTTAAATTTTTAAAAATAAATTTTTTGAAAATTATAATTATATATTTATTCAATAAAATACCTAGAACACCTTATTATTATTTTATTTTTTAAGGCTTTTATTTTAAGCGTAATTAAGGGTTTCTTGTATTTATTATTTTAAATCAATTCAAAATTAACAAAAAAAATTTTTTTTAATTTTTTTTTAAATGGGAAGACTAAAAATAAAATTTAAAATAATTTTAGACAATAATATATTAATTAAAAAATATATAAAAAATGTCTAAAAAAGAGGGGAAAATGGCATTTTTGGAAGAAATTTTATTTTTTAAATTTTGTAAAATTAAAAAAATTTTTTTAAGGATTTAAAAAAATTTATTTTAAAGCTACAGAATTTTTTAAAAAATTTTGAAAAATATTTTAAATTTATTAAAATTATGTTGGACAGTTCAGCAATAACAACAAATACTCGTTTGGGGTATACTGTAAGTTTATTTTTAATTTTAAATAAACTTGGCGAAAAATGATTTGATTACGCTTGCGCGGAATTTTATAAATCAATGTTAAAAAATCGTATAAACTTGAAATTTTGTATAGTTAAAGCTAAAGGTCTTAGCCATCATGCCTGAAAATTTCAAAATTTTTTGTTTTCTATAAACAAAGTTATAGACTAAAATATCTCATAAGGTTGATATTTCTAAGACACTTGGGAATTTTTAAAAATAATTTCGGAAATACATAATCAAAAATTCTGAAATTTTTTGAGGAGATAGAGGACACTCTTACGGAGGTATTTGCAAAATTTCACAATTTCAGGGTTTCATATTTTTTGTTTTATGAGGGATTTAGTATAAGTCTACTATGCCTATAAGCTGTCTTCTTGAGGAAAAAAATTTTCAAAGCCTTAGAAAATTTCAAAAAATTTTCAAAAATTTTTTTTTGATTTTTTTAAAGTCCTGGGCATCAGAAAAACCCAAAAACATAAATAACACCAATTGTCGTCACTCAACCTCCAACCAAAATAAACACAAAAATATTTCACCTGCCCTATCATTAACTTCAACCTCGACAACCTCTAGCAATTTAGAAGAACAGAAAGAAGAAAAATTAAAAATAAATAAAAAATTAAAGCAGTTGCCTGAAGTTGTGGCCGAGGCTATTAAAAGACATAAAAGTCAAAAATTGGAAGGGGGATTGTCTGCGAGGATTAATAAGGATAATGAGAATGGTGTTTGTTTAAAGTAAGGGAGAAAATTTTAATATGGTCAGGTATACCCTTGGGGATGAGAATCGGGTGTACGTAGAACTGGGTCCTGGAGGTATCGCTTAGGTCTCATCGTTCCCCCCCCCCCACCCAGTGTACAATCAACTTGAGAAAGCTCCGATGGATCTCTTCCTCATATCCCTTCTATCTTTCATATGGGAGGAAGCTTAACAAGACAACCCCTGGAGCTTATTAATATTTTTCAATAAAAATTCTTTGATAAAAAAATTTTTTTTCAGACACACAGTAGAACGAAGTCAAAGTCAACTAGCTCGTTCCCCTGCTGGTGTTTTATCTCCATGGTTGAGTGGAAATGGTCGTTCTAATTCTAGGTACTTTTTAATTTACTTAAATATTTGCGGACTGAGATATGCGGACAAATTTTTTAGGAAGACATTGTCCGCAAAAATCGTCCGTAAAATTTTTGACCGCAAAAAACGTCCGCAAATTTTTTTTAATTTCCATAAAAAATATTTTTTAAAGGCGTTCCCATTGTGGAGGTCACCGTTCATCAGCAGACCAATTAATTACAGAAAATAAGAATGCCGGCCAACAACAAACAAATAATTCCTCCCCAAATAATATCCCCCAATTAACCATCGTATTAATGGGAGGCCCCAAAACAGGCAAATCCGCGCTGGTTAGCCAATTTCTTTGGGAATGTTTTTTGTCTGATTATCGCCCTACTGTTGAAGAATTTAATTGGGTAGAGTATGGATGTGTCGAACAAAAATTGTCTGGACCCAATTTTATGTTACAATTAATTGATAGTAGTGGAAGTAGGGATTTTCTGGCTATGAGACATTTGTATTATAGAATTGCTGATGCTTTTATGGTGAGTGAATTGGTTGGAAATGATCTTAGAAAAATATTTAAAAATATTTTAAAAAGGCAAATTCTAAGAAAAAATTTTTAAAAATTAAAATAAAAATTTTGTCCGCAAATAACATCCGCAAATGTATGTGACTTAGTTTTCTAGCTGTAACTTTTTTCTAAATGAAGCTTTAATTGAAATTTAAAAGGGGTTTAATAAAGGATGATTTGGGCTATAAGATAGCTAAAGATTGAATTTTTAGATTTAAAATTTGTTGAGTTATAAATTTTAAAAGAGTCATGGTCGGGTAGTTCAATTGACACTTAATCCTCGGACTACAACTTTTTTCTAAACAAAGCTTTAATTAAAATTTAAAAGGTGTTTGATAGAGATTGATTTGGGCTATAAAATAGCCAAAGATTAAATTTTTAGATTTAAAATTTGTTGAGTTATGAATTTTAAAAGAGTTATGGTCGGGTAGTTCAGTGGAAATTTTAACCTTTTTATTAATACAATTTTTAAAAATAATTTAAAATTAATAAAAATAGCTTTAAGAATTAATCAAAACAATGAAGAATTAACTATTTTAAAAATTAAAAAAATTCCTTAAGGTTGTCTATGCAGCAGATGACCCTCAAAGCTATGCAGAAGCTTTAACTATGCTAAAAGAAATTGGAGAACAAAATACTAAAAATGTATTTTTAAAAAATTTATTTTCTTATTTTTAAATTATTTTCTAAATTTATTTTTAGGCCCCAATTTTATTGCTTCAAAATAAAAGTGATTTGGTGCCTAGAAGTAATGGAGGGGATACTCCTCCCTCCCCAGCATTATTGAAGGATGAAGAAAAGGATGAACAATTGCTGGTTTCTTCTGTTAGAAGAATGAGGATCTCTGCAAAAAATTTGGAACAAGTAAAAAATTTCAAAAAAAAATTGTTTAAAAATTTTTGTCCGCAAATAGAAAAATTATCCGCAAAAAATTTGCGGACGTCCGCAAATATTCAAAAAAATTTTTAATTTAAAAATTAATTCTAATTTTTAAAAAGGTAAAAGGCGCATTTTCTTGGTTAATAGAAGAATTAGTAAGGCGTTCAGAAAATATTTTTTCCTCGACCCAAATTGACGGAAAACAACGCCCAACCATTATAACAACAGAAAATAACAATGGAATAATTAAAGGAAGAAAAAGAAATGGAAGTGGGCCAACTACAGGATTTTTACCTTCAAATAATGGTAAAATAGCTTTGTTAACCAGAAGAAGACAGTCAATGCCGTCGAGAAGGACTGCTAGCGAATTGGGGATAGATGAACAGGCGTTGAAACAGTTTATGAAGAGGTGAAGAGATTAATTCTGATTTCTGAAAATAAATTATGATTTTCAGAAATTAATTCTGAATTTTTAAAAATAAATTCTGGTTTTTTAAAAATTAAATTCTGATTTTCAGAAATTAATTCTGATTTTAAAAAAATTAATTCTGATTTTTTAAAAATCAATTCTGATTTTCAGAAATCAATTCTGATTTTTAAAATTATAATTCTGATCTTCAGAAATTAATTCTGATTTTAATCTCTTAAAATTCTGGGTTCTAAAAATTAATTCTGATTTTATTAAATTAATTCTGATTTTTTTTAATTCTGATTTTATGTTATTAATAATTCTGATTCATATAGTAAACCTTATATCAGAATTAAATTAAAACATAAAATCAGAAATAAAATAAATAAAATCAGAATTAAATTAAAAATTCCAAAATTAAAATTCTGATCTCCTAGTTTTAATTAAATTCTGATTTTTAGAATTCTGATTTCAAGTTTAATTATTCCCATTTAAGATACGAAACTCAACAAGGCCGTAATGGGGTGAATTGTTGTATTCAATAAATCAGAAAAATTAAACTAAAATTGCTATTAAATGTGCCAAAAAAATTTTTAGTTAAATATAGATTATTCCCGGTGATTTAATTTTATAAAATTTTAATTTTTAGAAATAAATTTAATTTTTATTTTTTTTCTCTCCGCAAAAAATGTCCGCAAAAAAAAGTCCGCAAAAAAAGTCCGCAAGAAAGGCTTCCCTTAATTATTACCTTTTTTCTCCTTAAAAATAATTTTAAAAATTCTAAAATTTATACTAAAATGAAGGAAAGGAAAATTTTTAAATAATTAACTTAAAAGAAAAGGTTCAAGACAGGAAAGGAATTTTCTACGGCCTCAGAATCGAGGCTACGTTCTCAAAGAACTTGAAGTTTTTCTCTCTTTTCTCTTCAAAAATCTACATTTTTCTCTCAAAAAAATTTTTTTTCTAATCAGATTCTTCTTCATAATCCTCTCCTTGATGTCCATAATAGTCTCCTCCTCCTCCTCCAACATTTTGCTGCCCATAATAATAGTCTCCTCCTTCCCCTCCAACATGTTGCTGCCCATAATGATAGTCTCCTCCTTCCCCTCCAACATGTTGCTGCCCATAATGATAGTCTTCTCCCTCCCCTTCAACATTTTTCTGTCCATAATGATAGTCTCCTCCTTCCCCTCCAACATTATCTTCTTCTCCCCGAACGCCTTGTTCAATTCTGCTCCCTCCTCCTCCCACATTTCCTTTACTTCTCTCATAATCTTCATTGCTCAAACGAATATGTTTAAGAGCTTCATCTATCTCTTCTTCCGTTTGATAATTTCCGTGATTTCCAAAACAACGGGCACAAAGTTGTCCAAACTGTTGAAGACAATTGCAAGCTGCATAGGTTGCCTCATTATCATAACGACTTGGACTTCGACCAAGTAATGGGAAGTCTTCTTGTGGAGGTAAGGACTGGTATGTATGTTGATATTCAACAGGTTGTATATGCTCTGAGTGACTTCTCTCAACCTTTTTTCCTTTTCGAGGACTGCTCTGATGAGTTGAAGTTTCTAAATTTGAACGAGTAGCTCTCAAGTCTTTTTTGGGTTTCGTTTTTGGTTTGGAAGATGCTTGAGCATCTAGAAATAGCAAAAAAAATTTTTGAAATTAAAAATGAGGTGTCATAAATGAAGAGTATCTCTTAAACAGCTAACCCGGGCAATGGTATCTTAAATAGAGGTGTACCTCCAGTATAGGGGATAGCTTATAGTTATAGTCTTTTATAATATGTTATAGTCTCTTATAGTCTCTTAAAAGCTACTCCAATTAGCTGTATCTTTAGTTATTATGTATGTAGTGTATCCAGATGACTTAAATGAGGAGTGTCTTGTATTGGAGGTATCTCCATTGAGGAGGTATCTTCATTGAGGAGGTATCTCTATTGAGGTGGTATCTCTATTTAAACTTTTTTTTGTTACAAATACCTTCTTTTCCGCTATTTTTGCTACTTTTCCCTTTAAACATGGCATCAACATTAAAAACAATTTCAGCAAGGACAAACATCAAAATTAAAAATTTTATAGTTTTCGGAGGCATTTTGTAAAAAAATTTTCTTGGATTTTCTTGAAATAATTTAAAATTAAACATAGAGAAGAGTTAATTAAATAAAAATATTTATAAAAATATTTTTCATAGAGAAAAATTAATAAAGCCCTTAATTTTGCACTTTAAAATAATTTTTGATTGGCGGCGAATTTAAAGAATCTAAAAAAATTTTTTTAAGAATTTCTCCCCCCCTCTTTCCTCTTTCAAAACCAAAAAATAGTATATTTTTTTAAAAATTAAAAAAATCAAAGCAGTTAAAATACTTAAAAGGGGCATTAAAATACATATTTAGTGGAGGCAGAGGATATGGATGTAGAGAGGAGGAGATGGATGTAGGGGAGGAGAGGGAGAGAGGCAGGGGAGGAAAGGGGGGGGGGAGAAGGGGGGGGGAGAGGCAGGGGAGGAGAGGGAGAGGGAGAGAGGCAGGGGAGGAAAGGGAGAGGGAGAGAGGCAGGGGAGGAAAGGGAGAGGGAGAGAGGCAGGGGAGGAGAGGGAGAAGGGGGGGGGATTTAATAAATAAAAATGCGATGGACGATATTGACAAGTAAGTCATATGAATATAATTGTTTAATTGTTTAACTCCATGCCAACATGTTGGGACGTGATTGCGATTTATACTGGGATTCGGGGCCAAGGTCGGGGTTACACTGGGTGCGTGTCCCTCAGATGATTGACCCCTCTATATTAGATAAGAATTAAAATTTTTATCAGATAATTTCTCCTGCTTTAAATTCTTCTGATCTGACCATATTACAAGTTGTATAAGGATCAGAAACCCGATCGGGCGCACTTACCGGCCTATAACTTTTAACTGATACTTTGTTTAATAAATCTTCCTAGGGAAAATAATCCACAAACTTTGGGCCTTCGAATGGTATAAGAATTATTCAGAATGATTTAGACTAAATACAGGTGGTCCAAAATAGCCCTCGGGACTGAAACGCCGTTGTACACATTTTTACAGGGGGTAATTAAATTATTTTTTTTCCGTGAAGGGAAATTATTTAAGTTTCAAAATTCCAGGGCAGTTGAGGGAGAGTTAATTGAGGGTGAAACAATTTTGTTCTGGATCCAACAATATTCAAACTAAAAAATCTTTACTTTAGAAAACTAACGATAACATATCGTATAATGACATTCTTCAATAGAAAATCTTTTAAAAATCCAGAAAAAAAATTTTAAAGAAAAATTTAAAAAAAAGACAGATAAAGGTTGTGTCTCTCATCCCTCTCTTTCATCTCCCTCTCTCTCATCTCTCTCATTTCCCTCCCTCCCTCCTCAAACATTCTTCACAATTTTTAAAATAAGATCTGAACGTTCTCGTTTTCTTTTATCTCACGAAGCCTAGCATCTATTACTTCCGGATCCTCACTTGTATAACCTTCCGGTTTTCCAGTTCCTTTACAAGTTTCAATACAATTTACAACACCGTCAATACAATCACCACATGTTGTAGTTAAATATCCAATACGTGTTGAACTTTCGCTGGCATGTCTCTTTAAGGGAGATTTATTTAGAGGAGAGCCGGGAGAGTTTAAGGACGTGTAGCCGGAAGACTGTGGTTCCGATTTTGTTCGATAAAGAGGATGACTTTTAGGGCTTAACATTTGTTGTTTGCCTTCTGCTATACTTGACTGAGTCTTTCTCAGAAATTTTTTCGAAGGTTTATTCTGCAGAAGTGGTACTTGTACTTCTTCAGGCACTTCAATTTTAAGCCCTGACTGTTGTTTGTCTTTCCCTGGACCTCCTAAATTCAGAAATTTTTTCGAAGAAGGCTTGTTCGGTAAACTTGGTACTTCCTCAGGCGTTTCTTCAAATTAAAAAAATTTTTTTTAATTATTTTCAAAAAACATACTTCCTTTGTTCCTCATACAATCAACAAGATTTAAAACTATGACAACAAAAACTAAAATATTTAAAATAGTTTTTGGAATTGACATAATTTTTTGTTTGGATTTTGAAAATTTTTTAAAAGATTTTTTGGTAGTTTCTCTATAATTAATTAATTTTTTAATTTATTTATCTGAAATTTGCGGACAAGTATTTGCGGACACGCTCTAAGTATCTCTAAGCGGGCACGCTCTAAGCCATGTCAGCTCCTCAAAACCCCTCGATACGCCCGTGAAGTTGAAAGGAATTAAGACACACCTCATTATAGTATACAAATTTCTGTCCCAATGGGGATCTTGTAATGAGGTCCGACTGCTAAGATTGGGCTCAGGTCACTAGCACGCAGTTAGATTTCTCTATTTTTTAAAGGCTAAGAGAGTTGCTGATAAAAATTTCAATCCAATCGGACCTCTAACATCAAGGCTCTAATCCCTAGAGCCATCTACATAAGCTCTAATAAGCCATCTAATTCTAAATCCCAGAAATCTCTCCAACTCCACTAATAACCCTCGATATCATGTCTGGGAGGCTGAAAGAAATTAAGAATTAATTTTGTTTATTAATAAATTATTTGATGAAGCTATAATTATGAAGCTTTTATTATTTATCCGTAAGTGTCTGTCCGCAAATTAATTTTTAATTTTTATTTAATAATTATTTAAGAATTTAAATTTAAAATAAAATAAATAAAATTATATAAAATTCTTTCATTATTTATGCTGGGCTCGAAAAAGAATTTCAAATTCCCGCCCTTCATTTCCAAGGGAGGAAATAGGCGGAGTTTTTCTATTTAAAAAATATTTTTGCAGAAAAAATTTTTTTCCAATTTATGACAAGGGAGAAGGTGGAGGGGGAGAGAGGAGGTAAATTTTTATTTTGGACGCGTTACAATGGACGGAATTGTAGGAGAGAAAGGAGGGAAGGGAGTGCGGGTGGAGGGATGGGAGTGCGGGTGGAGGGAGGGATGGGATGGGGGTGAGAGTGGGCGGAAATTGAAGGGAGTGATGGAGG